GTAAATGAAAATATTTAGGGAAATCTTTGTTTGAGTGGTAGGCAACTTTAATAGTATTATGAAGAGACATGAATTCTCCATTGAAGACATTGAATATCGGAATAATATTCTGGGTGTTCCATTTAAAATAAACGAGTAACATGCTTTTAAAGGCGACCAATGTTCAATATTAATTTTATCTCATCCTGTATAACTTTTTGGATCAAGTTTTAATTTGATTTAAAGTACAATAGTTAATTTAACTACATATTAGGCTATACCGGGTAAATTCCAATTTAAGTAGCTTTTATTGTAATTTAAAAATTGTTCTTTATTTTTAGAAAATGTTAAATATGTCAAAAACCTTACAGTTTAGTCATATCCTTCTCTAATAAAACTCACCTTTATTTTTCTCCCAGAATCCGAAAATCAATTAATATATAAGGTGGTCCATTACAAAAAACACAACTTTGATATGTAACTTTTTTGGGGGACACCCTGTAGAACTCTATATTTTTAAAAAGTGCTCTGAGTTAGCCTACATATGCTCACAAAATTTAATTTCAATACAAAATATCGTTCTCCTTGGAGCCTCCGCAGCGTATGAGAGGCGCTACCTTGTATAAATATTAATTAATATGATCATATTATATATATTAATTAATATGATCATATATAATATGAGTCAATTAAATATTTTTGCTGCTTTTATTTTTTTTTGTTTTGTAAATTTAAAATATCTTCAAAAACAAAATCCTTGAAGTGCTAAAAACTGAAACAACTAAAGTCTTAACTATTAACAAATCAACAGGCATAGATCGTTAGTAACGCAGTCAGCCACAATCGTTGTTAAGTACATAGTAGCGTCCCATACAGCACATCAAATCACATTTACGATGTGTTTACATTATTAGATGTAGACACAGGGTGACACAATTCCCCTGATGTAAATATGCTACGTTTACACATTGTAGTTCAACACGTATGCACAAAGGTTAAACGTCCGCCTCACAATGTAGCCACAGTATAGCATTTACGTATACACAAAGTAAGGGATACACAGTGCTTGTGTATTACGTTTAAACTCTGTTTACACATTGCAGTTGTGACTACCGCGTGTATACGTATGTATTTTGCTTCGTATATACATCTTGTGCTAGATAAAACTGCTTCTTATGAACGAATTTAGGAAATAATACAAGTTTTGGTGCCTAACTTTTCGTTCTTTTTAAGAAATATTTATTCAATGAAAGCAAAAATTATATTTTTTTAGAACGAAAATTACGAAGGCAAAACTTTGTATTTTCCAAAAGTATCTCGATCGTAAGTTCAAGAGATGTAGCCTTAAAATTGTTCCATTTTTGTTTTATATTAAATGTACCATTTTTCTTCCATAAAATGGACTAAGTGGTTAAAAAATAAAATTCTTATATTTCTTTATATCATGGAACGCAATAGCGCAAATAACACAATAATAATAACTATTTACACTGCAGAAACCAGAAGTAAGAAAACACTGTAAAAGAACAGAATTTGTATCAAAATGTATTAAAAATATAAGTACCTAGTATAACAACATACTAAAATGGTAAACACTGGTATATCGCCACGATTTGGTGGACCTCGTTTAGTCATTTTTTTCTCCTCTTTTTCCTCCAAGCAGTTGGTTTGTTAGCATACTCATTCATCGAGCACACTGTTGGACTTTGTTGTATTTTATTTCCAGATTAACAATCTCACCCTTAAATTTTATATGAAATTGATTATTGAATATTAAACATATCTGTGTGTATATTGATCCATCAATAACTTACCGAATATCAGTGTAAGAAGTTCTTTGAAGTGTTTAAATCTTTCTTTGTCTGGTCCATTTAGATTTTTATTATTTCCAAATTAAAAAAAAATATATTGCAGAGCTAACCTCTTTATCATTATACGAGAATATTTGGAGTTTTCATTCATTGGAGTCAAAATTTGGTAAATTGGGTATCGAGTAAGGGAAGAGTCGCTGCTATAATATTAATAATACTCTTAGGAAGGTGTAACAAGGTAATTAAAAACATGTGCTTACCTTAAAATCTCTTTTAAACTACACACACACAGAACATTTATATAGAGCTTCCGAATAATAAAACAATAATGGCTGCTAACACATACCACTCCTAGAGAGGAGAAAGGAGAGAGGACACCATGAGGACACATAAGATACACTTGGTCGGTGTATCTACGCTGAGGCTACCCGCGCGTGCGCACACCTACATTTCATGCTAGAATGTAGACACAACAGTACACTATTACAAAGTGTCTATATATAGATATTTATATTATGCGTATACGTCATATTTTTACAAGGTGTGTACTATAGGCACAACTATGATACGAAGTATCACACATACATATGACTTATACATTGTATGTCTCATATACCGACGTCAGATTTCATCATTTTAATAATTATTTGTTACGTTACAAAAAACTCTTTAGAATCTTCACTTCAATCAACTAGTAAACACTGTATCACAATTCTATCAATATAAACCTGCGTGTATCTCATATGTATATGTTAGAACTAGATGAACACTTAGGTTCGCTTTAACATATTTTGTTTCTCATGTGTCTCCCGTGTAGAAACGTAATTTCATTTGGACGTGCTGTATGGGGTATACCCCGCTGGCAAGCAAACCTTTAGGTCGGCGTTTACATGTATAGGAGTGAGTCATTATGGCAATCTAGTAAGTCGGAGTGAGCAAAAATACGAAGTATTTATTACATAACTACTTAATCTGACGCTAGATTCCATGCGCTTGGGAAAATACTCGCCTTCTGTCTTTATTCAGTACATCTTATTTTACTAGCGTGTTACTTCGTACACATGAAAACCGGTACCCAAGACCAGAAATGCCGACCCTTAGTAGTAGGTTTTATATTAAGTTTTTTATGTTATTTTGAATAAAAAAAATAATGTGTATATTATTTCAGCTATATTATTTCAAAAAGCACATTTTACTGTTCGACATAGATTTATCCTGATATAAATTCTTAGTTCTTTTAATACAGTTTTAACCAAATGACGATTTAATCAAATTAAAATATAAATAAGGTGGTTAAAGAAAAAGAGTAAGCTATTAACCAATTTTCTATTTTAACAATTTAAACAATTTGATATTATGTATAAATATATTATATCTAATAAATATACTTTATTTTTAAAATGTATAGATATATTAGGGGTATTAATTAAACAAAATATATATGAAAAAAATCTTATAGTCTAGAATCTAAATTATCAATTTCTTGATTTGGGTCGTGATTTTTCTAAACCCTTCGGTATTATAAGTATAAGAACTGTGATAGTACAAGATACCCGATCGAAAAAAAAAACAGCGTCAGCGATGGCTATGAAATGAAGATCGCTGTCATTTTATATGTAAAATTATGTTAGGAATGTCATCGATGTTCATTTCCATGCCAACTGGACGCCGTTTTTTGTTGATCTACGGTATTTGAGTATAAACATAGTATTAAATATCTAAGATATAAACCAACAAATATTCAGTCAGTGTTGTATCTACACAAATTTTTGATTTTAAGTAAAAAAAGTGTTCAAGTAAATAAAAATATTGTGTTAATAATGTCTAAGTGTTTTCAAAAAACAAAATATCTAATGAGTTATTGTATTTGAATAAAATATATCTAAGTCTAAATAATACTTATTAACATATTATGCTTCAAATAAAAGTACACTGAAAATAAGATCCGAAAAATGTCAAATAAATGGTTTATTTGGCAATATTCTTATTAAGATTAAATATAATTTATCTCTATTTTCACTAAGTTTGGATTGTTCTTAATCAATTGACCTGTAATACAAGATGGGCTGGAACTTCTGGTGTTTTCAACAGCAAAATACAACACCAATTCACATTGGACGCGCGTTTCGCTAACCATGTTAGCATCATCTGCTGATTCGCGCGTCCAGTTTTAAAAGTAAAGTGTTTTTGTGGATTATGGTCAATTAATGTTTTATTTTGAAACTGATAGGTATATTTTATATACTACACGGGAAATAACAGATATGTCACATTTAGAGATAATAAGAAAGATAATAGAAATTAAGATAGCGACACAACTTTATAGGCACCATCAAAGAAAGCAATAATACCGCTTAGCTTCAGAGATATTACAGCTTGGCTATTTTCCCGTACAAGGGAAAAACCAGAGTAGTCCACGTGTAAATGGCAAAAACCAGAGATATCCTTACGCATGGGCGACAAGCCTGCTTCTTGCATGTTACATGTAGTAAATTTATGTATTCTAATAATAACCTACTTAAATATTTATTTTCTTCTTACAACAAAAAAATAATAGTTTAGATTTAGGTTAGGACAACCTTTAATTGGACATCCCTGATTTTTGCCCAGTTATGTTTTGCATTTTGACATTTTTATTTCGGTATTTCAGAAAATTGCGATAATTAGCAATATTTATAATTCAGAATTGGTAGTAATTAAATTTTCAAATTATTCAACCGAAAATAATATATTTCTTTAAAAATTAACGAATGAGGATAAGATTCTAACCGTAAGTCTCATTTTTCTCGGCTCAAATTAAAATGGAGAAAGCTGTTTTTTCCCGTGTAGTCTTGATGTAAAGCAGTACTACATGCGTTTATGGCCGAAATACAATATGATCGAAAAAAAAACGGCGTCAGGGATGAGTATCAAATGAAGTTCGCTGTCATTTCATATTTAAAATTATATAGGGTATGTCATATGTCATTGATGTTCATTTCCAAGCCAACTAGACGCCTTTTTTTTCGATTAAGCGGTACTAGTTTATTTGAATAAAACAAATTTTATTTAAATAGAACAACTTAATATTTGTTTTATAGCCACTCTTTACTTAAACGAAATAAATATTTTATAGACATATCAATTTTTTAAAAAAATTATATTAATATTTGTTTTATAATAATTATTAAAACAATATTTTTTATTTAATTGAACTTTATTTTTATTCGGATCAAATTAGTTGTTTTTAGTGTTTATTTTTATTAGATCTGAACATAACTATTTATATAGTAAATTTATGAAGAGTTTAATACCTCAATTTATTTGAGAGAAAAACATTTAATATATAGATTAAATTACAGTCAGTTAAACAACAGTCAATTGAGACTTGAATCAACTCACTTGATCAATTGAAATGATTTGTCGAGTTTACACGATCATATTGTATCATGCGAATTGAATTAAAGTGATTTGATCAATTCACTTGACCCTTGTAAACGCGCCTTTAGTAAAGCTTACTTTAAACACTCGAAATAAACGTTGTTATTTATAATTGAACTTACAAAAGCGTAACAGAGGCCTTTTAGTTTAGATTTAAATTAAAATAGTAGATGCTATTTCAGTTGAAACTCTAAAGCTATAAGATTTTTTTATCACGCAGTATGTGTAGCAGTTTAGTAATAAAACAAAAGATGAACTGATAAAAATGGGTTGCAAAAAAACTTAATGTTCTCTCAGTTATCAGGATTTTGATCATCGTTATCTCGTCTATTCGATATATCGGGCATATCCATTTGCTCTTGAGTAACGGGTTTCGGCTGCAAGTATGGATACTTGGACTTTGCTAGCCATAGCTCCAAACGCAAACTGGGATCTAGCGATAGAGCAAAGGGCTCGGGATTGCTGCGCTTCTTCAAGTAGTTGAAGCAACACGTCCGAAAATGACGCGTTCCGCAGGCGGATTGGCATTCCGACCCGCATGAGTTGCAGGTTTCGACTTCACCCCAAACTACACCTATAAAAATGAAAAAAAAATGGAAAAATGACAGGGAGGTATTATACACGGTGGCCGAACTCTATTCCTGAAACTTCTGCAGCATATTCTGCATATAAAAATAAGTAAAAAAGTTCGTATAAACTATGTCCTAAAATGCTTTGTTTCGGAAATACAGGGTGTAGAAGTTTCATTTATATTTCAATTTTTTTTTAATAATTTCTGAAGTAACGTAAATATTCGGATGAAAATTAGTATCTGGGAGGTTTTTGACTTGAGAAATTTGATTTTGAGGTCAATATCACTCCTGCTTGTAGAGGGCGCCACCTACATATTTTTAATAAAGAGTAATAACTTTTCGTCCGTACCTGTATAAAACTACTGAGTAAAAAATATAGATTTACGACGTTTTTTACGTAGAAAAAGTCTCTTGGTAAAAATCGCTACGAGTAATGGTTCTCAAGATATTTTGAATCCAATTTATCAATATCTGTCGTCAGTAACATAAATTAAACATATTATGTTTACTAAATAGTTATTAGACTGGAATCATTAATTTGAAAAACTGTGTGTTAAATCGACCATTTAGCACGATATAAGCTCCCAATGTAATTTTGCATTATTCTCTACATAGTCTAGCAATCTATATTTAAAACAGCCCCACTATGAAAAAGGCAGTCAAAAAATATAATATATATTTACAGTTCTCGGGGAGAGGGGACTTAACTTAGTATTATTTTAAGATAAAAATCAGGGCATTTCTGTACATCATTTTCAAAACAAAAAATATGTCAAAGAACTTATTTTTTACCAAATTTTTACACAAATATTATTAATAATCAAACTATTTTACAGTATAAAAACATTTTAAATATGAATGCCCTCCTAGAAATTTTAGGGTTTTTCGATGTATCATTGTACAGGGTGTCCCAGAAATAAGTGCAAGCATTTTAAGGGGTGGTAAATCTAGTCAAAAGAAACATATTTTTGTTGTTGTTTGAAGTTGAACTTTAACATTCAATAACTTTCAAACGAATCGATTAAATGAAAATTCATATCAGACCATTTTTGAAGACTGTTCAATTTTCTACAAGCGTATGTATTGATTTTTACAAAACGCTAATTTGTTAGAACGCAACAGTTAGTTAAACAGTTTAACAGAAACTGTGTTATCGTCATTTTTTCCCACAAAAATTTATGATTAATTTAAAAAAATAAAAATTTCCCAAATTATTATTTCACTAAAATAACTATTTACTTAACATTTAGTTTATTTTTTGTCAATAATAACTATGTATTGACAGGTTGCATTTTAAATATTTTCAAAAACGGTTGCTCGTAGCGATTTTTACCAAGAGACATTTTTTACGTAAAAAGTCACGAAAATGTATATTTTTTCACTCAGTAATTTTATACAGGTACGGACGAAAAGTTATTACTCTTCATAACAGTTAAAACACATGTAGGTGGCGCCCCCTACAAATTTGTATATATTTTTTATTTCAAAAAATAGAATTAAGAATATACACTCAGATGCAAAAAAAAACGAAACGGTGAAAATTTTGGTCAAATTGAAAGTGTTATATTTTTGTTTTTAGCCCTATTTTCATGAATTTTTTAGCAATGTTAATTTTAATTCTCAAACTCAGCTTTTTATAAGCTTTAGTATTTGATATATTATACAGGATTAATCGAGAGGTTGTTTTTTACCCTAACTTTAAAACACCCTGTTCAATAATTTCGTCTAAATTTTCTCCTTGTACTGCTGCCCTGTATGTATAACTGCCTGTATATGTCCGTTCACACTGTCATTGAGACTGCATATATCATATTGCGTATGTTTTTCCATTCTTTTTTAAGGACCCAGCAAAGTTCATTTAATGAAGCTGGTACTGCTTCGCGACTTCTAGCTTTCCTGCCAAGCATTTGCCAAACGTCAAACATGATGGGCAGTTCATAGTCGTATATAGTTCGCAATAATTACCAAAGCCGCCTTGTTACATTGAAAAATAACTTCAAAAAAGAAATGGTAATTGAAAAAATTGTAAATTGTTGGTGGCAAGGTCATTTCCCTCTTAAAAATTAACCAATGCGTGTATTGACATGATCCATAAAATAAAATGTTTAGGAGACATGGTTCTGACCGTAAAATTATATTTTAGGAAAATTTACACACGAAATTATTTCACACGGTGTTTTAGAGTTAAGATAAAAAACAACCCCTCGATTAACCCTGTATAATGTGTGCCAAATACTAAAGTTTATAAAAAAACTTAGTTTACGAATAAAAGGTGATATAATTATATCCAGCCTGCTAAAAAATTCAGGAAAATAGGGCCAAAAATAGCAAAAATGTAACACAAATTTTCTCCGTTGCGTTTTTTTGCATCTGAGTGTGAAATTAAGCTAACAATAATATAAAAAAAATATAAATTTTTATTATATTTGACAATTATTCTAAATTGTGAGGTGAAAATCAAATATTATGCGTAAATTAAATCATATCTTACCTAATATTATCAAAGCCACTAAAAGTTCTTTATTCATATTTGTGTTGATGTTCACAAACTAGCACCAGATCACCGTCTAAGATAAAATCTTTGAAAACTTATCGGCTGCATTTTATATATAAGTGACCAAACCTTTGAGCCTCTTTAATGTAGGGGGGGTTGAGCTATATAGGCTCTTCCGTAGGACTTGTCGTATATCTATGCATATTATACACTAACGAATTCCTAAAAAAAAATTTTGTTATGCCCACATGGTAAATTGCGCCGGCTAAAAAATAGACATGCCTTTTCAAAACCTTCTCTCTCTTTGCAACAATACATTTTACAAATTAAAGCAATAGGACTAGAGATATAGAAGGAATAGATACAATATATATTACAAAACTAGAAGATATATATAAACTAAGATAATACATATTACAAACCAACCCTTTACATTTATTTTGATGCTTTATTTGATGAAATTTGATGCTCCCTGTCTCATTGGACAGGGATCGTTACTTTCTATATTATGTCAGTATGAAAAGAGTTTAAGTTTTTTACTGAATTATTGTTATATTTATATTTATTTTCTTGATACCTATAAAAATGTATTCATAATAATCTCATCTTTATTTTTCTGTGTGTTGATTTATTACAGAATAATACTTAAATACAACATATATGAAGTTTTCATTATTTGTTAAGATATGATTGACCTTTTCTATATTAAATATTTTTACAGCAAATTAGCGACTTAGTATTGCTTTACTGCTTTATATAATTAATCTTAATTTCATAAATTAAGTTAAACATAATTATTAATATTTGTTTAGTAAGAACATCTATGCAATGATTTTTACTAAAAGTATGTTTAGTAATGCATTATTTACTTGCTCTGCTAGACATATTTTTGATCAGAAACTTTATTTTTATGATATTTTATAAATAGGTAATCTTTCTAGCGGAGGCGTTTTATCTAGAAATACAACAGGTGTATTATCGTGAAGTTTCTGTGTTATCATGCTATACACGTTAAATGCCAAGACGAGAAAACTCCCAATAGTGTTTTTATAGACATACAGGGTGGTGCACCTCATTCGCCTCGGTTGATTATACGAAAACGGAAAGATGTAGAAACAAAATATTTTATGGGGGGAGACAATGTGCACAATTTAAAATTATTGTGAAATATACAGGGTGTTTCAGAACTAAGATCCATACCAAAGTTATATTTTTTCTTATGGAACACCCGGTATTTTATTTCATTTTTGGATTCTTCGGCCCAAAAAAATGCATTTATTTTAAGGGTTAAATATGTCTAAAATCTTTGGTTTTTGAGATATTTAAAGATATTTAAATTTGCATGCTACAATAGAATAGATTATTAACACCCTGTACATTACTTTTCAGAATTAATTATTGTGCTGAGTTTAAAGGTAGGGAAATAAACTTTACAGAAAAATGTTATTGCTTCCTTAAGTTTATACAGGGGTATCAAAAAATCTATTTTAAGAATTTATATTAGATAAAAACTTTGTTATTTCAAATACAACATCCTGTATTTTTTAAAATAAATCGAAGCAGATTGAAATGCTCTTTCAAACTATATTAGGGTTTCCTATACCTATCTAGATCAGATTTTGAAAAAGAGCAATTTTTCAATAAAATTGCAACCAAGAGGGCTAGTGTCGTCATGGCAAGTTTCTAGTGACAGTTATACTTGTATTCATTTAAAACTTCCCAATATGGCGGACTTCAGTATGGGAGGCTTAAAAAACGAAAATCTCTAGACTGGAATCGACTGTACTTCAAATCGTTCAAATTGATAATCTGTGGTAGATCCAATTGAACTCTGACACTTGGCTGACATTGACGTTTACGGTTCCTTTTTCAAAATATTTTTATTATTTTTTGAGTTTTTGTTCACAAATTCTACTTGATTTTGTTCTTTTATTTAACCTGCAGTCTGCAGTACTAATTATATAGTTATAAATAATATTTTCATCGATCAAGAACTGAAGGAATAGGCTGGAAGATATTAAAAATGTGTAAAACGCTTAAAAACGTATTAGAAAGCGTTGACTCGTCCACAAATTCGTGAAAATAAATTAGTCCAGATGTTTGTAAAAAGGTCTCTTATTATTTTGAGAAGTTTCCTCATATCAGTAATTTTCAGGTTTGTAATATGTATATTATGATAATAAATAGATTAAAACTTATATTTCAGGAAACAGCGCGGGCATTACAGATTGCTGTAAATCAGTTTTAAAATATAAAGGTTTAAAACAGGTTTAAAAGTTGTATTAGTAGAGAAGACCTAAATAAGGTAATGTTGGTAATGGGACCAAAGATCAAATAACACTTGAAATATATAATATGTTCAATAATTGTAAGCAGTTTTTATGAATCTGTTTGATATCTATTGCATTGTTTTTATATTTCTTGAAATATTAATTTTTTTACTTTACAGGATACACAAAGAATAATCAAAAATACAGTTACTCACTAAAAGCACTTAAGGTTTGTAATAGATGTAGTTAGAATATCAAACACCAAACCAAACCAAAAATTATGTTTTATTTTACTGGTATTCCTCACATTTGAAAGGAAAGTCATTTTATAAATAAGCAGAAGGAAATTGTATAGTAAATACACTCTATATTAATAATTCTTTTTTATACTATACTTGTTAGTTGACGCATCACTTACTAGGTATAAAATTTAGTACTGATTCCAAACCTATAGTTGTGATTGTGACATATTCTGATGTGTTTCTGGCAATTTAAAATAAGTTAATATTTAAACAAACATTTCTGGCTTTCCTGACAGGAGTGTGAACACAAATTTAATAAAGGTATAATGTGGATAATGTTCTGATTATTACAGTTTGCATGGATGTTTTTGTATGTTGTTATTTTTAATAAAGTATATTTAATGAGTTTTTGAGTATTTCTTTTTCCCTCAGAGGATTGTGTTCTAATCTTTATATATAAATTTTCATAAATTATATCTACAAAATTTATTACCTTATAACTTTTTGCTAAAGACTTTGTAGTTGATACAGTTTAACAGTATATAAAAGGAACTATTTAAATAAGATGTTTGAAAATATATAGCTATTTTTGCACACATCAATTCAATTTGTGATTAACTGTACTGAAATAAAAACAAATTAAGCGAAATGGGGTGATCTCTCAACTATAACATGAAACGCATTATCCTATTTCCAAGTCTTCTATTAATTTCACTTATGAAACAACTATAATTATTCAACAATCTTGATAATTGTAGGAACTCTCAGATATCGTCAAAAAATGAAAACAAAAATTCAGTTCCTATAGTTCTTACGTCCCTTTAACTGAAATATAAGAAACAGGGGAGTTAATATTCTCACTGAGAAAGTTTATAAAATACCTTTAAGTAAAATCTCTTCGGATCTGCGGTAAAATACCTTTATTCTTATTAAATAATTTCAATAATCTATGTTTTTATTTATGACAACCTCCTAATAACCTAACTTTAACGTCAACTTGACAATCCTAAAAAATGTTATTGTTAACCAAAGAGTAAATCAATTTCTGAATTCGCTAACGCCAACTTATTTTTCATTAAAAAAAAATTACCAATTTTCGTAACTAGGTCGGCCATATTGAGGAACTTTTAAAAGAATTGTACTATAGTAGCTATTTCCAAAATTGAAATTAGTTTATTAATTATTTAATTAAATTTATACCAGTTTACTTTTGTTTAATTTACCTACAATAGTTTAATAAATAAGATTTATTAAATATGTATTTATTATTCTATCAAGAAAAACGAAAAAGTTCTTTGATTTATTTTACGATGACTTGTTGATATATGGATTTTCTAAAAAAGAGCCAATTACGGCGAATTCATTTTCTTTACTTCCAACGGCAGCTTTCTGCCTAAGAGGTTTTTTATAAAGCACACTACCAGCTCTGCGAAATAGGACAAAAAGTTTTTTTAAAGGAACGCTTATCAGGAAGATTCCTATTTGGATATCAGATTCCCATTTGGATATCCTTGAGACCAAGAAGCAATTTTTCTCACAAAATAAAATCACTAGTAACATATCTATTCGTTCCGCCCGTAGATACTGCTCTATTTTTCTTGGTAAAATAATTAATACTTAATGTCGACTTTGAAAATAGTTACTAACTGTCACTAGAAAATTGCCATGGCGACACTTGCCATCTTGATTGCAATTTTATTTAAAAATCGCTTTTTATTCAAAATCTGAGCTAGATAGGTATAGGAAACCCTAATATAGTTTGAAAGAGCATTTGAATCTGCTTCGATTTATTTAAAAAAATATAGGGTGTTGTATTTGAAATAACGAAGTCTTGATATAAAATAAAAATAAATTTTTAAAAAAGATCAGCAATTTTTGATATCCCTGTATAAATTTAAGGAAGCAATAACATTTTTCTATAAAGTTTACTTCTCTACCTTTAAATTCAGCACAAGAATTAATTCTGAAACGTAATGTAGAGGGTGTTAATAATCTATTATAGACATAGTAACATGCAAATTTAAATATCTTCAAATATCTCAAAAACTAAAGATTTTAGACATATTTAACCCTTATAATAAATGCCTTTTTTGGGCCCAAGAATCCAAAAATGAAATAAAATACCGGCTGTTCCACAAGAAAAAATATAACTTTGGTATGGATCTTAGTTCTCAAACACCCTGTATATTTCAAAATAATTTTAAATTGGGCACATTGCCTCACCACATATACCAATAAAATATTTTATTTCTACATCTTTCCGTTTTCGTATAATCAACCGAGGCGATTGAGGTGCGCCACCCTGTATATCTAATATTAGATAAATATGGAATAATTGGTACCTGGATAAAAATTGATACCTCAGTTTCTATGAAAGTGTAGCCATGGAGATTAATGGTGTAAAAATTCTAAGTAATCGTTAAAAAGTAACAGTTACTTTACGAGGACTCGAAGTAACGCTTACCATATGAGTTTAGAACTCGTTACTAAGCTAATTCGTTACTTTTGTGCAGACTAGTTTTTACTACAGCAACGTACGGCAAGGCAAAACCTGTGCAAAGTACAGAGACTGACATGTATCTGCATCACAGGTGCCATGAGAACATGTCCAACAGCAGCAATGGAGGCCATTCTAGACCTAACAATATAACATTGTTGTAGGTTAGTTATGCCAATGCGACAATGATTAGGATGGTCATTGACGGAAACAGTACTGGGAGGATTTTCAGGTCAGGGGCTTGGAACGCCC